GTACAGCATTTTTAAAACGTTGGTAAAGAAAGAAAAAGCTTCATCAATATTACAACAATTAAACAAAGGGCACCAGTCGAAATTTTTAAAAAATAAATTTAATTTACAAATATTATTAGAGCAAAAATTTAAGGATTGTGAAAAAGAATTAGATGACAATAAAGGTTTAACAATTGTAAATGAGGTAAAAATAGGGAAGTGGTCTGATAAAGAAGAACAGATGACACCAGATTTATGAATAGTTAAATTGTTAGTAAATACGTTATCAATCAAAGAAGAAGTGGTAGTAGTAACACGAGTTGGAACGGTGATCAATGAATAAAAACCAAAAGAGTTCATCAAATATACAAATTCATTATTAATATTATTGTTTTCCTTACTAATTAAATTGATATTAAAATCCCCTAAAATATAGACACATTTACATGATTTAGGAATTTTTAAAAGTAAACATGATAAGTCATTAATAAAACAAGTTAGATCAGTGTTCGGAGGGCGATAGATTACGTAAATTAAATAATTATAAGAATCAATATTAAGTAGTTCAACAATTAACAATTCAAAAGATGTAGAAGGAAATAAAAGGTCATCACGAACAATATATTTTAAAACACTAGATATAAATATACCAACACCACCTCCTAAAGAAGAAACACGATTTTTTGACACAAAATTAAATTCAGGCAAGTTAATTAAATTAACATTTGTATCATTCAACCAGGTTTCAGTAACGCATATTAATGAAAAACAATTATTGCAAACATTTATGAGAGTTGCGAGTTCAGACATCTTATTAAAAAGACTTCTGCTATTTATGTGCATTATTGTAAAAGGATTAGGGATACTAATAAACGAATTAACTTCCTCTGGTAGTTTAAGAAGAGATTCGTCGAAGATGTTGTTGAAAATGTTGACATCCGGGTCTAACGAAGTTAAAACTGAGTTAGCCATTAATAGATGATGGTGCAACAGCGTTAGAAACCGATTGTTGAACATGATTGTTGAAAAAGCACCATTCGTGAAGGACGACACCGTTAGGCCAGTTGTCCTCGTTCAGCACCTTGTCTAGATCACTTTCAAGAAACAAAATTCTGAAAGCTGCGCTCGTTTTTGAGTCACTAGTTTGAGAATTATTATTATTATCATTATTAGTTGAACTTTTTTTGTTGAAAATGGATTTAGTCAGGGGTATAGCAGATATCGCGTTAACGTTGATCGACTTTAGATGATTGATGACGTCTTCAGAAGTGCATTGATCCAACTTGCCGACGTAGACCAGCTTTTTACGCGGTTCCATTTTCATTGGTCTTATGGTCGATGAACAGTCGTTTTTTCTACCAATGACTTTTTTCGTCTGATCAATTTTTTGTTTACGTTGAACCGACAGTGTAGCCGCTGATTTAGCCACAACAAGAGGTAATGTTCTAGGTTTGTTTTTATTTTTATTCCGTTGGACTAAAGTAAAATTATCGTCACTTTGGTTATCATCACTAGGTATATCCATAGCGACTCTATCACCCCACGTTGGTTTTATATTATTTGTTGGAGTTCTTGTTGTATCATTATTCAATTTATTATTTTTGTTAACAAAACGTGCAGTAGTTGAAATATTGTTGTTTAAAGGTGGAAATAACATGGAATCAACATTGGAAGTATTTTCTACGGCAGCAACTGTTTTATTAAAATTCGACGCCACTAAATTTAATTTCTCGTTTACCTGATGCATTTGTTTATCAAATGCAGTCACCTGTGATAATTGTTCCTTGAAAATTTCAAGTGTATTGGATATGTACGCATGTTGTTTCACAATTAATTCGCTAATTTCGCACCGTAAACTTTCAAAATTAACTTTAATTACATTTTCCAATCTTGGAACCCTATTCAAATCCTTACTTACAAAAACCGCTAATTTTTCCAACAAATTATTAGATATAAAACACTTTAGAACAGAAATACAGTC